TCATCCTATGCCATCTATTCACATATTTGAGTAGTGGATGATATCACAGTCCTGTGGGGCTGGAGTATGCATGCTAATAGCCCAAAAGCACTAAGAAGAAACAAAAGTAGAAGACATTTTGCTTTGCATTCTCTCAAATTATTACTTGCGGCACAACTGAACCCTCAACAAAACTATAATAAGCTCGTGAAGCAAAGGGATTCAAATTCAGACTCAGTAAACACATGTATGCCTATGACTAGCCAGGTGCTGATACGTGCACCTACATGTGGCATGTAATCCTCACGATAAGGAAAGTATGAACATCCCTATTTGTAGGTGGAAAAAGTCAAGTTCAAAGAGATTGAACTCTCTGAGCAGGTCCCAGATGCTGCTAGTAAAGTTCAGGGTTGCACCTAAGTTTCAGGGTTGCACCTAAGTTTCTTGCCATTTCCAAATCACCATACTGTCAACTGGCCTGTGGCTGATGAGTTCCAGCTATAATGCTAGACCAGCACTTTATTATATTAAATGTTAGGCCTCTATCAGTAAGTATACACTGTGGAAATAAGAAGAAAATCTGAAACCCAAGCCCTAAATTCCGTGTTGGGTTGGGTGTGACTGTGTGTGTGTGTGTGTGTGTGTGTGTGTGTGTGTGTGTGTGTGTGTGTGTGTGTGTGAGAGAGAGAATATGGAAGAATGTCATTGCTCTTCACTTTATTTCATTGGAAGAATTTTAAAATAGATACCATATTTTTATGGAACTGGGAACACACATTCATTATTGGAAACAGAGAAAGCAAAGGAAGTATGTGTATATACTTTAAATATATTAATTACATTTTGGCAGTGACTCTTAGTAAAACCAGAAATTAAAAGAGAAAACAACAAAAAAGGATGACAAGTGATAAAATGGTACTAAAAAAATTTTTACTAAAGAATTACCAGGGGCTTCCCTGGTGGTGCAGTGGTTGAGAGTCCGCCTGCCAATGCAGGGGACACGGGTTCGGGCCCCGGTCCGGGAGAATCCCACATGCCGTGGAGCGGCTGGGCCCGTGAGCCATGGCCGCTGAGCCTGCGCGTCCGGAGCCTGTGCTCCGCAACGGGAGAGGCCACAACAGTGAGAGGCCCGCGTACCACAAAAAAAAAAAAAAAAAATTACCAGAAGACTATGAGGTACATGTGACCCTTCCTAATGACAGCTGCTTTTGTTGCTTCCAGTTTGTGGGCAGTTTTTAAAATATAGTGGTTTTATTTTGAAAAATTGCTTTAAAATGCACAGATGCCTAAGAAATAGGTGTTGTATAATATAGCATAAAAAATGTCCTTTGTCTGGTGGCTTCACTCCATACCACACAGGGCCTGTGAGTGTCTGTATCGCCTTCTGTCAATCAAGAGAAAGACAGTCTAGATAAGATGGTGGAGAGACTTGAACTGGGAAGGAGGGAGGCCTGCGTTCCTCTATTTCCTTGGCTGGTGATCAGCCATGTAACCTTTACTTCTCGAAGTTTCCTCATTTCTAAAATGGGGTAACAGCCTCGGTTCTAAGGCTCCAAGTCTCATGAGAGAACTCTTAAAAATGTGAGATCTGTGTATAAGTGTGAGGATATATAATTTGGCTCAAAGAGTTAGGTGCTGCTATGTATAAGACACTGGTGTCCATGGTTAAGAATTTACATATTTTTAGGTGATCTCAGGAGTTACTTAAACAAGGGTTCAAATGTGCTGGATTTAGATGAAATGTAGCTGGGCCTAAAATAAGTCTAATTGCAAACAAGAAAGAACATGAATAAAAATATAAATACCATGTGATACGCTAGTAGGATGGAATGGACATCTAATTCCATCATTTTATTCTGTAATATCTATAGCATACACTGTAGACAACTGAACAGAAACCCAAGAAAGTCAAACCAGCTTAACCAAGGTCACTTATTAATGGCAGGCAAATGAACTGATTAGAAGCTAAGTTCTTCTAAAAACTATGTTGATTAATAATACTAGCTCATCTTAAGGAAAAGAAGCAGTAGTTTTCACCCCATTCAACCTCATCAGAGGCACAGACTGAATTCTAGAAAGATGAAGTGACTTGGCTAAGGTCGTGAGGATGATCACAGTGAGAATCCAGGTTTTCTGACTCTCAAGAGATGCTCTTTCCCATCACCACAGTGCCTACCCCTTTTTCAGGGCCCTGATACCACTGCTGTCATATGTCAGGAAATTTTACTAGGGTACTCTACAAAACACTTTCTTTACTTTTTTTGTGTGTGTGTGTGATACGCAGGCCTCTCTCTGTTGTGGCCTCTCCCGCTATGGAGCACAGGCTCCGGACGCGCAGGCTCAGCGGCCATGGCTCATGGGCCCAGCCGCTCCGCGGCATGTGGGATCTTCCCAGACCGGGGCACGAACCCGTGTCCCCTGCACCAGCAGGCAGAATCTCAACCACTGTGCCACCAGGGAAGCCCCTCTTTACTTTTTTAAAATTAATTAATTAATTTATTTATTTATTTTTGGCTGCATTGGGTCTTTGTTGCTTCGTGCTGGCTTTCTCTACTTGTGGCAAGCGGGGGCTACTCTTCGTTGCGGTGCATGGGCTTCTCATTTTGGTGGCTTCACCAAAGCCACCAAATGGAGAAGGGCTCTAGGCGCGGGCTTCAGTAGTTGTGGCATACAGGCTCAGCAGTTGTGGCTCACGGGCTCAGTTGCCCTGCGGCATGTGGGATCTTCCTGGACCAGGGCTTGAACCCGTGTCCTCTGCACTGGCAGGTGGATTCCTAACCACTGCGCCACCAGGGAAGCCCCATTGTCTTTACATTTTCCCTACCACTTACGTAGGTATCCCCAACCTTTTTTTTTTTTTTTGAGACAGTGTACCTCTCTGAGAGAGGGGATTTGATGGAAGATGGTTCAGAACTGCACTAAAACTGAAAAAAAGCGTTAAGACTTCTGTATGAAGAGGTGGGGAGGGAGGGGAGAGGAAGAAAGATTGATGTTCCATCATGCTCCATCCCCAAGGTTCTTAAGCCATTTTAGGAGGGCAGTGATTCTTCATTTAGTGGCCCCAACATGCCCATTATCCCTCAGATGTGCTCACTCTTAATATAGTAGAGCTCTGCAAATGTCAGATGAAAAACTGTTAGCTTTGAAGTTCAGTGATTGTAAACATCCAATTGGTGTGACCCCTATTCAAAAACACATCAGTGATCCATTTATAAAATGGTTATTTTAGTGGTTCTTCAGCAAGATATTACTTAGATCAATCAACCAATATTTCCTTAAGTTTACTCTAAGTTTACTCACCTGGAGTGTCCACCTCCACAATTATTAATATAAAAGAGACTAAATAGTATGACACAATTGACTAAAAAAAGCACATGGAAGAGAGATCAAGTTTTAAGCTAACATTTCTACTTTATGGTTGAAATACGAACCATGACAGAACCGCTTCTCAAACTATGGAAGAAACACGCTAAGATAAATTTTTAGACAATTATGGGACATCCTGATGTGAAATGGTGAAAAGAAAAAGAAAGGACATAATCTAGTGGGAGGAGGGTGGTAGAATCAGAAATAGGACCAGCTACACAAAAGTCTCTGTAACTTTAGGGATGCCACCGAATCCCCATGTTTTTTCAGCTTTCCTCACTAGTAAAATGGGAGTTGTGAAATGTGCCCTACCTAGCTCACAAAAAAAGTGAGGTCAAAATGAGGGGACACGTGGGCCTCCCTGGTGGTGCAGTGGTTGGGAGTCCGCCTGCCGATGCAGGGGACGCGGGTTCGTGCCCCGGTCTGGGAGGATCCCACATGTCGTGGAGCGGCTGGGTCTGTGAGCAATGGCCGCTGAGCCTGCACGTCTGGAGCCTGTGCTCCGCAATGGGAGGGTCTGCATACCACAAAAAAAAAAAAAAAAAAAAAAAAAATGAGGGGACACGTGTGAAATTATGTTGGAATTTAGTGTTACTAATGCAGATTATTTTATAAACTGTACAACTGGAGAAAAGCCTGGATACTGTAACATACAAACAGAAATGATTTCCAAAGAAACCTATCTGCCAAAGAGGGAAAAATCTGTTAAAACAATTTGAAAGCGACTTCTCAACAAGACGATGATGTTTGGAAACATTTCTATAATCTCAGCAAACATTATATTCTTTGACAAAATGTGCGTCACTTTGGTCTTGGGCATTCTTTGATCAACCAGTTAAAATCAGTCTTATAGGTTTCCTCCCTTATATTTAAGCTTTATTCATGTTATAATAAAATAAACTCTGAAATAGAATCAACATTCTTGTAGTTTTCTTAATTTTTAAAAGTATTTCCGTGTTTTCTTAGAAAAGTTATATATAAGATTTTTTTCAACATTTTTCATCAGAATCTCTTTGAAGTTAATTTAGGCCCCTAATGTGTAGTTTAGGAGGATTTTGGGAGGGAAACTTGCTTCTACATGTAATAGATATATATGTATCAATAAATTATGATTCGTGTTATAGAACCCACATGCACAAATTTAACCCTTCCTTAATAGATGAGATCTTAATTTCTTTTTACACTGTGTTTGTGATTTTATTCATTTTTTTTTAATCGCACCTTACTGGGACATTTATTTTTTCAAAATAATGAGACTGGTAACGCCTACATTCTGCAGACTGCAGACACATATCCTATGATTATGGTATTTTCCATTGGCGTAATGCTTTACGTTTTTCCAAAAAAAATCTTTCACACAAAGGACCTCCCAACAGCGTGAGGCAGGCTAGAACGCATCAACTGGAATTGCTAGGAGCCAGCCAGAACGCAGGAGTTTGGTTCCCAGATCAGGGCTGTTCCTACTAAATGGCACTTTCTCTGTCTCTGGGTCAGTGTTGAATATTTCAAACCAAAATGTCCTTAGAGGACAGGGAGAAATTTTGCACCATTCAATATGGAGCTCTAAGCTTTTATATGGGGGGGGAGGGGTGATGGAGAAGACCCTTGTACTTGGGGATCAGGTTCAAGGACACATGGGTGCCCGGTGCTCTTACCGTCCAGGTGGCGGACTTGGCGGTGCTGGACTGCTGGAAGGACACGTCAAAGCTGTGTGGGCCCGGGTAGTCAGTGTTGGAGGGGATGGCGGGCGAAGGCGAGAGGGCGTCGAAGGTGGAGCTGGGCTGTGCGTAGGGCGAGGGCGCCGTGACGCTGTTTTGGGCGTGGTCTGTGTTGTAGGGACTGGTGGACGAGGAGCCGTTCTGGATCTGCTGGTCCATGCTGTTCAGGAGCCCCAGGTTCGTGTACTGTGGCTGCGGGACACCCAGAAACCCCCCACGTTAGCCATTTAAGCTGCAGATCCTTGCTGCCAAAAAGGCATCATTTGGTGAGTGCCTTCTACAGAGTTCCACCTCACGTCTGCAACACTTCGCACTCAAGGGAAAATGACCGATTTGTCATGCATAGTTCGAAACACCAAGAGAAACCCCAGGTGTGCGTATGTTTTGTAATGACCTGCACAGTTCACACAGCTTCATGGGCAACCTTTGGAGACTGCCGTCTCCCCGAGAGCATTTGAAAGTGGATTATGTGCTCATTCGCAAACTGGGCAAGAAGTGCCAGTGCTCTGTAGCTGCTTATGAATTCTTTAAAATAAATGAATACTGACTGCTATTCTTTTTTTTTTCTCTTCTTCTTCTGTCCTGGTATTCAGAATGAAAAATACCACTGGATAGGTATGTTCTAGAGGAGACTTAAGCATCAAATTGTTGTTTACTGAGAAAAATCCTCAGTAATTTGGAGTTGTCCTCCAAATGTCCTTTTAGTCATCATTCTTAATTCTGTCTCAGGGTACCGACTTGCCCCCAGGGACTGGGTTCATGAGGACTGGAGGGAAATGAGTAGCAGGGATAGGGAGAGGCAACTATATATTTTAAAAGGTTACATGCTAGCAGACCATCCAAACAGCCTAATTTTTCATCTGTTTTTTCATTTTCTTTGTAGCAGTTTACTATTTTCTAAAGTAGAACATGTGTAAGAGAAATATCATCTAGTTATGATTAAAATTCTATGTTTGAAATAGTTCAGAAGTACATTAATTCATATAGCTTCTCTGCCAGGTGTTTTATTTCTTCTAGGAAAACTGGCACCAAGTAGGTATTCAATAAGATGTTTATGGGAAGAATGATTTAACTTCTCATTTCATCGGCAAAAAATCTTTTATTACTATCAGAGAGGGGAAGTGATTTACTCAAGCATCGGTTAATAAGCAAAGAGTAGGGATTTTGAAACCAAATCTTCCAATTCCAAGTCCAGGGCCCTGCCAACACCATCACACCTGTCAGCCTGATAAGATAATTCAAGTCATTCCTGAGTCAAATTGGACACATTTCCAGAAGGGGCCACCAGCCTGTGTACCATTTTCCCTTTGTGAAATCTTCTGACACGTGGAAACCTCACTGTTTCTTCAAGTTAGCAACAGGAAAACAAATGAAAAGCAAAAAGAAGGCAGTCCTGTGGGTACATATTTTATAAAGGAAATGAGGAGTCTGGCTCTTCAACTGAAATATAACAGAGTCCCAGGTTAAGTCAAACTACAGAGAAGAACAAACTCACAAAGAAATGGATGCTTGAAGACAATTTTCATTCAACTTTAAGCGTAAGAAAATGATTTTACTAAACTTTAAGTATTTCACGTGGGGAGGAGAAAGGACCCTGCCATTCCATTCAGTCCAGAGAGCATCTGTCTAAATGTTAACGGTTGCATGCCCATTCCATTACATGTATGCATTCGCATTCCACTGCCAAATGCCATGTCCCCATTTGCTCTTCAAATAACTATTAATCTCTTTACACTTATCCCCCTGCTGACAAGAGCAGCTGTTAGTCTCGCCTTCTCTCCCCTCTGACTTCCACAGCTCCTAGGCCTGTCCTCCATCTTTAGCTTCCCCTCTTGACAGGTGAGGCAAACTGCAGGTGAGACAGCTGTGAGAGACAAAACTAAAACCTGAGGCCCGGACGAAGGCGTCCACACCCCTGGCTGAATGAAAGCTCTTAGGTGTCCAAGCCTGCCGGCAACAGCCTAGAAAAGGGATTGAAATTATTATTTGTGTTCAAGTTAAGGGTCAGTATACAAAGCACTCCTGAGCGTCCTGTAGGAATCAGATAATGCTCCCGGAGGCACGTGCTTCCCTAGAGCAGTACAATTAAGGAGGTAGCCGCCCCTGACAAAGGGGACAAAGAAATTCGCCAAGCACTTTCTCACAGGCGGTAAAAAGCCTGTTGGGCCAACCCTTTCCTCCTCCTTCTAGCTACACAGAATGGAACTTCAGCTAATTGTGTGCTTGGAGGAAAACAAAGAAACATGGTCCTTTGATTTTTTTTTTTTTTCCAATAAATGTAAAGAGAAAAGTTTGGGGACCCAGCTTTAAAAGCCAGTGAGTAAACACTTAGCGCTGCTTGAAGGGCGTAAGAGAAATGGAAACTCCATTTACCTCAGGGGTACAAAGACGACGTCCCTGGGACAGCAGTGAGACCGAACATATGGGGTGGCACCGAAGAAGCAGAAACTGTATTTCAAGCCATTAATAGGTGTTGATGGCTATGCTTTTACATGCCATAATTTTTAATCCCAAAAAGTTCGGGTGAAATATTTTCTTCACAATAGGATTTGCTTCCAGGGCTGACGCCTCAATTTATATAATGTAAAACTAGATTTCTCAGGTTTGGGCAAAGAGCTGCTGACTATTCAAGATAAAAATGGGAAAATATATTTCATTTTAAGCTTTGCTCAGATTTTACTTTAAAGAAACAAAAGCTAAGTAGTATACTCCATTGTCTTTAAAAAAAAAAAAAGCATAAAACCAACACTAACTTTGAATTAACTAGCCTGAAACACACAGCAACAAACCCACCAAAGTAAGAACTGTATGATTAGAAATCTTCTTGCAGACTTTCCATGGCCTTATTAAGAATTTATATTATAAACCTGCCATAGGAATTCGTACTTAGTTGACAACGACCAAAAAAGTTTCTCATTTGCTTATTTCTTTGATTTGAAGACAGTGGACGTGTTGACAAAGTACAATCAGAGGCAGAGGGCAGACCAGCATAGCCAAGAAGAACAAGTGTTAGGTAGGTAGGACCAGCAAAATAATTCACAGTGCCCATCGCAAAATGAAAACACAGGGCCTCTTGTTCATATATTATTAAGAGTTTCATAAGGGTGGCAGCAGAACATTAGACAAAGCACAGGGCGCTTTCATGACTGCACACTTTGCAGCCTATGAAGCTAGCTCTGTGCCAGGTTAATGTGAATAATATTTATTTCTTCTTTCCCACCAAAGTGAAGCTGGCGGGATGAAGGAAGGAGTACCTGCACCCTTTGTTTACTTCAGTAGTTCCATAAACACAGAAGGGAGAAATTTGTGTTTCGCTGGGACGCTAATGAGATGGCTATTTATGACGGCAAGTAAAATAGTCTCCAAAGTTAAAACGTGACACTCGTATGAATACCAAAAGTGCCCTGAGAAGAACTCTGTGGGGTCCTCTGTGTCTCATGTGTTTCTTATGCAACAAAAGCTATTAGAACATTTGAAATGTAATAGGAAGTAGATTGTCCCTTTCTAACGATAAGGTATCTCGATGTTCAAATAACCTTAACATACTCTATAGGGACTCAGTGAATGAATGAACAGTGTTGTATACCTACCCTATCGTGTCTGAAAGAGGAGACACTCTTTTCTCCGCAACATATAAAAGGTGAAAATGAACACGATTTGCCTGATATCTATTATAAGCCTGATAAAGTAAAACAGTGGACTTCCTTTGAATTCGAACAGATGCTTCATTTCTTATAAAATAACTATGAAATAGAAGACACTGCCTGGACCCTAGAAAATTACCAACATCTGTAGCTGAAATGTATTCAGCTTCATCACAAACTAGCTGATCTGCCCACAGAAAGGATAAAACACACCTTGGTCACAGAAACTTCGTATACTCCGGGTGACCACAGAACACCCTGGGGGGTGTTCTAAAACATGGAGCTGGTATGGTAAGTGTAGGGATACCAGGGGCTGAATCTCAAACTGCCTGCTTTCACCATTAGGAAAGAGCAAGTATAACTACCATTCCCAAATATAGAAAGAGGGTTTCCTTGTTGTTTGTTTTTTTCCTCCCGTAAGTTCTTTCGCATACCCATTGTCATCTACAGACTGATTTATTTCTTCAGTTTTGATGATTAGAATTAAAATGACAATAAAGAATAGGGATTTCTCCTGACTGGTCGTTGTTTTAAAAGCGTACTATATAATTGCAGTTCCTTTAGTTTCATTTTATTTTTCCTTCCTGGGTTACATTGTTAAATGATCTTAAATTCTGAATATATTGTGGGCCTGAATTATCTTCTCATCAGCTCAGCAATAATGTATATCAGTATATATCACAAAACTTAACATTGAATTAATATTGAATATGAACCTGGGTTTATACCTACTTAAAGTTGACTCTGTAATTACTTTCCTGTAAAATAACTTAACATCAAAAAAGAATTCCAATCAAGTCATATGACCAGTGCAATGAAACAGGAACATAGATATAATTTGCATTTCTGAAAATCTCTCTCCTCCAATGTATCTGTGTAAGAGAAATTTTATAAGTTCTTTTTCTCACCTTTCTTAGATATTACTATCTGTAATAGCTAATTTATGGCAACGATAGTCAATAATATATGGCAAGAGATTAATAAAAAATGAGAATGCAGACCACATCAGGCATAGGAGAGGTTACTTTGGAAACATATAATCAATTTATTTACCTCAATTCAAATGGATCCTTGTCACAGGAAACAATAATTTGCCCAAATTTCATTTGAAAAAAATTATATTTATAATCATTGACTGACTGTTAGAGGAGGCTAGGGAATTAAACATTCTTCAGTGCCCCTTTGATTCGTGAATGGATTCTAGTAATGCAGAAGAGCTCTGAACTTAGACTTGGGTAACATGGGGTTTAAGGCCCAACACTGCCACTAATTTGCCATCTACCCCTGGGCAACGTACTTAAACAACCTGGACCTTAGTTTGCTATAAAGTAAAATCTGTATAAAATTGAGGAGATTGAATCTGATGATCAAACATAAATGGTGCACCAGTTCTAACATTTTTCTAGGGATGACCATTCTCATCTACAATACTATGTAAAAATAATGCCATGAGATTGTTTTCAAAAAAATGAGATAACTGTTTTTTGTTTTTCTTTCTTCATACAGATTTGCCAGACCAAACCTACAAATCCAAATTATTTCAGGCAG